ACAGTTTTATGCAGCAAGGAAAAATGAAGTCAGCTAGGTGGAGGCCTTTCTGAGGAGCTGACATTTAAGCTCTGATCTAAGTAGAATGAAAGAACAAGTTATGAGAATGTGAGGAGACTTCCAGGCTCAGAAAGCAGCCAGTGCAAAGGCCCGGAGGTGGGCGTGTGTGAAGCTTGGTCAGGCAAGAGCGAGAAGGCCGGTTTGAGGGGCACGTGGGTGGCTCAGTTGGTTAAGCGACTGACTCTTGATCTCAGCTCATGTCATGATCTCGAAGTTTGGCTCTGTGCTGACAGCATGGAGACTGCTTGGGATTCTCTCTCTCCCTCTCTCTCTCTCTTCTCCTCCCCTGCTCACTCACTCTCACGCTCTCTCAAAATAAACTCAGGAAAAAAAAAAAGGCTGGTTTGGTTAGTGCACACTGAGGAAGAGGAAAGTCATAGGAAATGAGGTCACAGAGGAAGGAAGAGCTCACATAGGGCTTTCGTAAGCCACGAGGAAGCCATTGGAAAGTTTGCACTTGGAAGCAACTTGATCTGATTAGCGTATGGGGAGAAAGGCCTCATAAGGAGGCAAGAGAAAAGCAAGGGGAGCACTGGGAGGCCGCCGCAGGAGTCCAGGGGGAGTTGATCAGTGGCTCCCCCAGAGCAGTACTGGCAGGGGTTGTGAGGCTAAGGCTGCATTCAGGACACAGTCTGCACAAAGAGCTGCAGGGTTTGCTGGGGAATTGGATGAAGGGTGTGAGAGACAGAGGTCAAGGATGTCCCTAAGTTTCTGCCCTCTGTCCTTAAACGAATGATGCTGCCACTGATTTTGGGAATGAGCAGGTTGAAGCGGTAAAACCAAGAGTTAAATTCATAGTTGTGGATGCCTATTAGATACTCACTTGGAGATGTTAGCAGGCTGTCGCTTGGTGTTTGGTGGGGGAATCTTCGAAAGCTACCGAAGTAATCCCTTACGGACAGAAAAATCTCAGTTCTCCCTAGTTACTAACATTTATTCCTTCAGCAAATATTTACTGAGCCCCTACTGTGTATCAGGCACTGCACTGGGTGCTGAGGAGTATAGCATAGATTTGGTCAGAAACACTCACTGTCTTCATTACAACTTAATTAGTTCACTGGTTTCTGAGACACCTCTCTAAATATTGTGTAAATACGTGGAATCGACTCTCTAGAGTTATAAATACTGAGATGTTCTCTGACTCAGCAATTTGGAAGAGCTTAGATTTTCCGAAAGAAAGGAGCTATAAATAGATTTGGACAAATGACAGACTTACCCATAAAATATGTGAAGACCGCCTTCAAATGAATCAGAAGGGACTGTCTCAACCAAATTCATGTTTACGAAGAGTCAACTTGGTGTAATGGAAAAGCTTACAGGGCTGGAAGGCAGGAGCTCGAGGCGTGTGTTCTTCTCCGACTAGGTCGCATGTATGACCTTGGCTGAGTCCTTGGCTCATCTTGCTTCGGTGTCCTCTCCAATAAATTGAATCTGAGAACCAGTGTTTTCTCAAGAGCCTCCTAACTATTGTTGTTTTCTTTGCACTATTTTTTTTTTTTTTTTACTGGACTCTCCCTCCTCTTTCCAACACTTACTAAAAACCAAAACCTCAAACTCCAAGGTGATTCTTCTCTTCTTCAAGGGCTCTTTGTTCACAGCAAGATAAACCTAGAGTTCCCCTCCTCCCACCCAGCTTTTTGCAAATGGAAAGAAAATGTTTTTTTCTGATTGTAGAAATGATACATGTGCTTCAATCACAAAGACAGTAAAAAGTCTCTGCAGTGATCCACTGAGGCAACCATGTCTGTTTTCACCATCATTGTATCTGCAATGTATCACATGGCAGTTACTTAATAGATATTTGTTGAATGAATGACTTCTGCTGATATCTTGGGAACACCCTTTTTAGTCTCCCGACAGGAGGAGGGGGAGGAGAAAATTCTTTCTCTGGGGGTTGTTTAGCCACTAAAGCAGGAGGGGCCACTTAGTCCCAGAGACTGACATGGCTGGGACCATACCGGATCTCAAATGACTCGTTTCACAACAGCTGAGGTCGGAAATCTATGGAATGCAGGGAAACAATCACACCAAAGACACCATTCTGATGGCCGTAAACAGTATCACGGGCGGCACAGTTTGAGCAATAACAAGAAAGGCTACACAACAGTCCAAGGTCTAACCGGGAGTGGCTCCTGCAGACTGTGCCCCACAAGCCTTCCTCCCACGTGTGGGTGCTCTTGCTTTCCTACACAAGGCAGGGGTTTCTCGTGGCACCTGAGCTGAACTCAACACTTGATTGCAAGCCTAGCATTTTTTTGATTGTTAACTCCCCTCTTGGTAAACCAAGATGGTTTTCTGATTACTTCAGGAAACGAATGAAAGCCAGAAGGTGTCTGTAGACACATGCTTTATCTTTTTCTCCCAAATGGAAGTGGTGGCTGATGTTGAAAAACTGGGACATTTGACATGTGAATTTCAGATCGCTTGAAAAACCCCTGCATTTGGCACCACGGGGTCCTTATCCCATGGGGCAGTCAGCTAGGGCTGAGGGGCAGCCTCTTGCTCTAGATGGGGTGTTCAGCTCCCTGCCATCCTGCTGTGTTCCATCCTGCCTACTGTGCTCATTGACCCAACTTGCTACCTCTAATCATGCAAAAGCGCTCGAGGGGCATCTATGAAGTACCAGGCACTGTGCAAGTCCCTTGGAACACGAGTGAATTCAACACAGCTCCGACCTTGGAGGAGCTCGCAAACCAACAAAGAAACCGGTGAATTACAGTGTGGTAAGGGGATAAAGCGCAGCCCAGAAAGCAGGAACATGGCACAGCACGGGGACTCTGCCCTGCGAGGCTGTTTGGAGGTTCCTTGAAGGTCATGTTTGTGCTTGGTTTTGAAAGATGAGTTACTCAGGCGGGTGGAATGGTGGTAAATATTGCAAACAGCGGGGGTGCTTTTGAAAGCATCTATGAGGTCTTTTGCTGATCTGACCGTCTCAAGCCAGCAACTTTTCCCTGGTTGATGCGGGTCTGTCTACAACCCTCTGCCCAGGTGTTTTACCCCTCCACCCCTTCCTTCCTTCCTTCTGTCAAAATGCCAGAGAATGTTCACCTCTACCAGGAAGAGCCTACCTGACTAATCCCCACTCACTTCCAGTTATTTCAACTAACACAACACCCCCATTCTGGGGAAACTGGTTACCTGAGGGTGATTCTGTTATTTGAACTCTTTGTTTTGGAACCTTCTGATAGTTGGGAGAGTAAACCAGCATTCCAAGCAATTAATATGTATTTATCAAATATCTATATTGTAGAGAACTCTCTCTGTCACATACATCATTTTTGATCCCAACAGCAACCCAGTTGAGAATGAAGACAAAGACAAATAAACTAAAAACAGAAAAGATAAAATTCAGAAAACATTTATTAAGTGCTCGTTATTCACAATTTTGTTAATCCCTCCATGCATCCCTCCTAGTAGTGCTCAGTGAATGACACTGAGTACTGCTAGGGCCAAGCACTGTGCTTAGCACCTGGAAATCGAGCCACTGAAACATATAAGCTGGCAGGTGACATGGATAAAGAAACCCATTTATCATAAGTTACCTGCCAGAGCAGTTTCAAAGTACAACAACAACTGGGGGAGAGGAGTGTCGACCACTCCCAGGGATATGGGGCAGGTATCATGGAGAAGTCTGAGCTGCTGATCTTGTTTTTTATTTTTATTGTGACATTTTACAACATACACAGAAATACGGAGACTAGTACAACGAAACTCCACGTATCCACAACCTGCTTTAACAATTAGTAACTCATAGACACTCGATTCATCTGTACCCTCACCCGCTTCCCTCCATCCCTTCATTTGGTTTTTTTTTTTTTTAATTTTTTTTTTCAACGTTTATTTATTTTTGGGACACAGAGAAACAGAGCATGAACGGGCGAGGGGCAGAGAGAGAGGGAGACACAGAATCGGAAACAAGCTCCAGGCTCTGAGCCATCAGCCCAAAACCCGACGCGGGGCTCGAACTCACGGACCTCGAGATCGTGACCTGGCTGAAGTCGGATGCTTAACCGACTGAGCCACCCAGGCGCCCCGCTTCATTTGGTTTTGAAGCCAGCCCTAGACATTTTTATTTCACCCATAAATACTAAGCTGAGTTTGAAGAAGGAAATGGAAAAGTCTAGACCTTCCACTAATAACTTCCTTTTCCCCAATTACTCTTCTGCCAGCGACTCCAAAGCCTTCGCTAGTTCAGGGTAAAGACCCATGGCTGCATTGGACCTTTTGAGCTGGTTGAAAGAAAAGACTGAACGGATACAGTGAAAACCCCATCCTGCCTTATCTGAAATGCTGTTCATTCTTCAGGTGCTTGGTCCTAATTAATAATCCTTCAGAAAAATTGCTTAATTCTTTAGAAGCTTATTGAGGGTTGTACAAATGACCTAATGTTTGTACAATTAGGTTGTACAAACAACATAGTGTTTGTACAAAACGGTGGCTACATTCTACATTCCCGTGTGCCCCCAACCCCCCCGGGGTGGGGGCCCGCGGGAACCTCAGACCATATGGGCTTGCCCTGGGGACGGAGCTGACTCAAAGTTGCTTCCTGTCACATCCTTGATCTTCACGGGGTTGGGAACCTAGTCCTATGTGGACATCTGATCTCTATGCCCTCCACCCCTTCAGCGTCTCCTGTCTGTCTGATGGGTACCAACATCCACGCAGTTACTCAACCCAGAACGTTGTCCAGGACTCCCTCTCCCTCACAATTCTGCCTGTTCCTTTAAAAGCATCCATTAATATCCACTTACATACACCAAGATCCTTCGATTTAGGTCCCCAGACCCTTCCTTCAAGTACTGCAATTATTTAAGCATCTTTCTGCTTTAGCACCACCCTCCTCATTCTCCACGCAGCAGCTGGGTCATCTTTATAAAACACCCCGTTTCAAACGCTTTCATAGTTCCTAACCCCTACAGAATCAAGACCATGCTCCTTACCGTCGACAGGGAGGCCCTGCAAAATATAAGGTTTCTTGCGTGCTTCTCCAGCTTCGTCTGCTTCATCTCCTTCCCTAGCCTGCAACCAAATGCTCTTTTTGAGGGTCTGCTTTCTGGGGTCTGCGCTCTTACCTGGGAAGCGCCCTTTCTTTCAAGAATAATAAAAGCTACACCTACTGCGCCCTTGCTTACACGCGAGAGCTCACAAGAGTCCACGACACCACTGAGAAGCCATCACCTTCCTTTTGCAGATGGAGAAAGTGAGGATGGACGCCTTACCCATGGCCACACAGCCACTGAGTGGGAAGCCGAGGCTCGGATTCAGACTCGCGGCGCTAGAGGCCCGGGGCTTAACCACAGAGTCCCAGCCTGCCCGCACGCCCTCCACCGCAGCAGCTACAGCTCCCGGCGAACGACAGCCCCTGGCTGCGCGGGGACCGCTACCAGCTGGGCCAGCGGAGGAACGAGGCTTCTGATTGGCTGCCTCCGGCGACTACTGGCGAGAGGGAGGGACCGAGGGCGCGGGGGCGTCGCGGAGAAATGACGCAACGCCGCGGCTCCTTAAAGGCGCCAGCCCCTAGCGCCGCGGATGGCGCAGGCGCGTTCCGGGGGCTCCCGCTTCTTCTCCGAGCGCTGAGAGCCGGGCCGGGCGGGCGCGCGCGCGCGCGGACTGTGCAGGCAGGGCGCGCGCCGGACGCGGGCAGCTCGAGGGGTCCCGCGGGGCGGCTGGGGCAGCTGGACCGGACGGCTGACGAGCGGGCGCCGCGATGGCAGAGGGCAGCGCCGTGTCCGATCCTCAGCATGCCGCGCGTCTGCTGCGAGCGCTCAGCTCTTTCCGCGAGGAGTCCCGCTTCTGCGACGCGCACCTGGTCCTCGACGGGGAGGAGATCCCGGTGCAGAAGAACATCCTGGCGGCGGCCAGCCCGTACATCAGGTGAGGACCGGGCCGCGGCGGGCCGGGCGGGGCCGCTCTGCCCGGAGCCCGGGGGCGGGCCGGGCCGGGCGTGTCCCCGGAGCCCCTGGTCCCCGCCAGCCGCCCAGGTCCCCCCCACCCCCAGGCCGGCCACCGCCCGGC